ATACCCAAAGGCAGCTACTCAGCTGCTCACAGTAGATTCCACCATGGAGTTGATTACCAGTCTCATCATGGGGAATACCATATCCAGCTGTCCAGCCACTCAACCAGGCCCAGCCAAGTTGACACACAAATTTAACTACCACAGTGTTGGTTGAAGGTACATTCCACCCTAATCCTGCCTCATTAACATAACGGGCAACTCACTCCAAAATAGGGCCATAACCACAGGCATGTTTTTTGTTGTTAGGTTCTGTCAGGTTGGTCCCGACCCATAGTAACCCTATGTACAACAGAACGAAACACTGCCTGGTCTTGTGCCATCTTCACAATCTGCTACGCTTGAGCCCATTGTTCCAGCCACTGTGTCAGTCCATCTTATCTTCCCCTTATAAATAGCAATGAATCACAGGCATCCCAAAACCCACTGCCATCGAGTTGATTTGGACTCATAATGACCACAGGCATAGAAGCTAGGATTTACAACACATCACAAAATGGAGGATAATTAGATCACAAAAAGAAGGACAACCACACAATACTAAAGATCATGGCATAGCCAAGTTGACATATATTTTGGTGAGATACAGTTCGAGCCGTAACATTTCACCCTTAGTCCTACTCAGTTAGTGTGTGGGAGTCCTAAAGACTGTGGTAAAACAAAAAATCAAACCCACTGCTATCGAGTCGATTCCAACTCATAGAGACCATCATTGGGTTTCTAAGCTGTGTGATATCCCCTGCTCTGTTTGAACTACTTCTGCTAGATCTGTGTACAAGTTTTGTGTGAGCTCTATAGAGGCTGGACCAGGGGGCAAAGGAGGAGCACAAGACCTGCCACAGCCTGGGCAACATCAGCCACCGTGGGAGCTGTGGCAGGGACAAGCTCAGCAGCCCCACCCCCTCAGGTAGCTTGACCCAGCCACAGTGCTGGGTACCACGCTATGCCCATGTACTCACAGTGGCACTGCTGGAGCCACTGATGTGCAAGATTACCCAGGAGTGCCTGAGGGTACTCCTCTTCCTAGAGGGCTGCACTGTCACACCTGCTGGGAGGGTCTCATGCATCCAGGCCCAGCCAGGCAAGGCGTTTGCGGACAAGGAGACCAAAGCCCACAGGGTGAAGGAAGTTGGCCCAGGTCACCCAGCAAGCCATTAGTAGAGAGCATCTACTCCAGCCTGGCAACTTCCCAAACAGCAAAGTGGTGTGAGCCAAGCACAGCAGGGTCCCTACCCCATGCCCCCAGCCTCCCAGCTATAACCTCCTCATTGATGCCATTAATTGACATACAGTGTATGCATTGTATAGTGGATACATGTTCTGTTTGGACTGTAAAAGTCCTTTGCTTAAGCCTAAGCTCTATAGCATAGTGTATCAGTCAAGATAAAAGACTCTGGAACCCAACTGCCTAAGAGCCAATCATGCCCGTGTCGCTTTCTAAGCTGTAG